CTCCTCCCAGTTTGGTATCATCAGCAAACTTGCTGAGGGAGCACTCTGTGCCTTCATCCAGGTCATTGATGAATAAATTGAACAGGACTGGACCAAGGACTGACCCCTGGGGGACCCCACTAGCCACAGGCCTCCAACTAGACTCTGCACCGCTGATCACCACTCTCTGGGCCCTGCCATCCAGCCAGTTCCTAATCCACCTCACTGTCCACTCATCTATCCCACACTTCCGGAGCTTGCCCAGGAGGATGTTGTGAGGGACGGTGTCTAACCTCCCTGCTCCGGCAGGGACACCCAGAGCACGTGGCACAAGGTGGCATCTAGACGGGTTTGAAGATCTCCAGAGGAGACTCCACAGCCTCTCTGGGCAGCCTGGTCCAGGGCTCTGTCACCCTCACAGTGAAGAAGTTCTTCCTCACATGGAAGTGGAACTGCCTGAGTTTCAACTTGCACCCATTATCCCTTGTCCCGTCACTGTGTGCATAATAAAACAATGATTTTACCTGGCCTTCTTCTAACATTAGTGGTTTTATTTCATCTGCATCTCGACCAGATTTGTTATAGAACTGATTCATTTCAGCATTCATGTTTATATATTCTATGTCATTGGCTACATAAGGCCCACTTCCTTTTAAAGTAACCCAAAAGCAACCCGGATCTTCAACCTAATCAAAAAGTGAAACACACGAGGAATTAAAAGTCAATTAAAATAACAAATAGTATTATCATCCACTGAAATGATAAGACTTTGTTAAGAACATCTGAGCAGTAAAAAGTAAAATAATGCTTACAGATAGGCACCTTAAAAATTTAGGCAACTGACACTTGGCAAATAGGATGTTAACAAGCAAAACATCTTTCAGTTTCAGATCAGTAGTTCAATAAATTATTTCAGAAGGCTTAAAAAATGTTTTTTTTTAAAAAAAAAAATGTGGTCATAGGTTCCTGCTCAGGTTTTCTAAACATTTATATCCCAGTATTTCAGTTAACCTCCACTCCCAGTGTTCCACAGAACTCAACAGCAACTAGTATCATGCTATATTTGAGATTACTTAAAACTAAAATGGAATATTTGCTGCGTAATGTAAAGCTGCTACTGATCTCTTTTGAAATGAAACCAAGATAAACCTCTATGAAAAATGAGAAAAACATACATGCTATATTTGACCTTGCATGTATAAGAAATGCCTGCTAAATAGAAACGCAGAAACATCATCTTATTTCTAAATGTCTTGCACAGTTCTGCTGAAGCAAAGAGCAGTTCTTTCCACATTTAAAAATACCAGCATACCTCTAGTATCAAGACTTCCACCATTTGTAGCTGAGTCTTCTTCAACATTGCTACAAGAAATTGATAAGCATTTGATTAATCATTTTGAAAGCTGCCATTAGTTTTGAAATATATCAGATTAGCGTATATATACACCAAGCCCAAATATTTTTGGTACTTTTGAATGAGATACTAATACAGCTAATTTACACACATTAAAAGGTTTACACCTGCTTTCTTGATAAGACCCTATTTTGAAGTCTAATTAAGAGTCACCACATTTACTCACAATCACACCAATTGTCAGTGAACCAGAACTTATTTATTATCTTCAGCCTACTTTCAGTATATAGGTTGCTGTCTAACACGTGAGGGCCCACAAAAATATTACAATTGAAAATAGGATTGAAATACTCTAGGTATCTCACTAAACGGACTGCAGGGAGGTGCTTACATCACTAAAAATGAGGGAGTTGCAAACTTAATTTTAACACGAGGGAAAATTTACTGACATTTGACATTGACAAAATGAAATGCAAGTTAGCTTGTAAAGAATACATCCTTCTTTTTTAATTCCTAGGTATAATTCAACTGGCTACAGACAGCAATTTGCCCATCACAACCAGATCAACATTTATCCTACCACTTAGCAGAATTTATGCTAGAAGCAGGAGTTTATGAAGACATTTAGAGAGAAGTAAGCCGAGACATTAGGCATCCACTTCCAAAGCTGGCATTTAAAAAATTACTGAAATACAGTTGCACTGTGGTTGTATTATCCATGACCTGTGCTGAGATGGTGCTAATGACTTAAGTTTAACACTACAACAGAGGAGCAAGTATAGCACAAGTATAGCAACATCTGTAGCACTTTAATATAGTGATATGAAGACACGTATCCCTCCCTTGGGCATCCATAGAGTTTTTAATTTCAAGAATTAGACGAGACACAAAAATTCTCTTTCATCCTCTTAGCCTGAGAAGCACGGAAGATATAAACGAAATATTGGTGCATCTCAGATGAAGCACACCCACAACAAATGCTATCTGTTCTACCTGTAGGAACCACCTCAGTACTAAGAAAGAAACTAAAAAAAAAGGGTCTGCAGAAATTTCAGGACCATCCCCATGCTATAAAGGGTATTTACTCCAAAAAGAACTCACTACACCCTGTGCCCCATACCACTGCTTCAACACAAGACCTGGGTGGGCCTGCGTGGAGGCTCACCTCCATAATAACGTAATGCTGATAAAAACACACCTGAAAAGAGAGCTGGCTTCTTTTCCCAATCTCCCTCTCTCTCCTCGTAACCTCACACCATCTAATGGAAATCTCAAAAAGGGCAAAGGGAAAAGCAAACAGATGGAGGAAAGAGAAGCTTAAAAAAAAAAAAGGAAAAAACCTGCTTTATTGCTCTCACCTCCCAAGCTTTCCTCACTCCTTGCCTTTGCTCAACACGCCTCCTTAGAGAAAATAAAAAAAAAAATCCCTCAACTTTTAAACCCCCCGCCACAACCACAAGCCAACCCACACCGTCCCCGAGAAGTTTCCAGAAGCAGCCAATTTTCCCGCGCGCGACCCCGCCCCGCGCAGCGCGCAGGCGCACACCGGGAGCAGGCGCTGCCCGCGCTGCGGCGCATGCGCCACTGAGGGCGGAGCGGTGGGGAGGGGTGGGCGCTGCATCCTGGCGCCGCCTCAGCGCTTCGGAGGGGCCGTAGAGGAGAGCGAGCTTCGAGGTCGCGTTGTCCCTGCTGTCCCCGGCTGTCGTGGGGACAGGTGTCTGTGCGGTGCCGGTGGTGTCTCAGTACCAACAAGGTAGTGCCCGCCACGGCGGCCGTTACAGCGCAGAGGTGAGCTGCAGTCCTTGGGCAGTGAGAAAACAGCCGGCACTCTTCTGCTAAAGTTCAACGGTGATCTTTAAAAAAAAAAAAAAAAACAACTACAAGAGAAAGTATCTGCTGTGAGTGCCTTCTAACACCTAGGCTTTAGAAAAAAGGTTATCTCAATTCCCCCATTGCGAGCTCTCTGTGTTAGGCAGCTGTTTACTCATTCCCCTGTTTTCTATCCCCCTTCTTATTCTGGCTTGGGCTTTTTTTTTCAGTTCAACTTGCTTTCTACTCCTAGGCAAACACCACGCCAAGCCCAAGAAAGTAAAAGACACCCATCCTGTCAGTAGCCCTTATGTGGAAACTGACTAACTTCAGCCTGTATCAGTATGTTTAACTTAGGACCCCAGGATGCTTACTGTATGTATATACCCAGATATTTGTTCCCTTTAATGATTCCCTTCATTTTCTGCATAGATGTAGCATCTTTTTCATTATTTTTTGTCTTTTGACCGTGATGCTCCTTCTAGTGGATCATGTTGCCTTTATTAGTGCAAAATGAACACATTTTAAATTAAAATATGATGATAAAGAGGTAGAATATTCACTTAGAAATTACAGATTTGTTATTGTACTTTTTGACACATAGAACAAGCTAACTTAAGAGTTAAAGGCTAATAGAGAAATATTTTAAAGCATGTTGGTGGGTAAAAACTTGCATAAGAAAATATCCTCTATTTATGTGTCTGACTCATTTCTTTTCTAAAAGGATTTTCTCCCAATAGCCACTTTCTACTGCAGTAGTGAACTAGTAGAACACCACATAATAAACTATTTCATTGGGTCAGGAATATTTATCAGAGATATAGAAGTGTCAGTGGGGGTCTGCAATACCAAGAATGGTCTGAACCTTTTCAGACATAAGAAGATAGAAACACTTTTCCAGTTGAAATGAATGCTGCAAAGCAACTCAATATAATGAAAACTTTGTAGAAAAATTTATTTTAACTGAAATAACAGAACACAAAGCTTTCTGGCCAACTGCTGGCTCATATAATCGTTCATTCTTCTTCCACATAGAAGAGATTCCACATCACTGCCCCCATTTGTTCCATTTGTAACAGCAAAGAAATAAAACAGATCAAAAATACTGACTCCAACAAGCACCAATACTTCCTCTGAAGTCTCCAAGCCTCATAAAAAGATTTATTTAGGAAAATAGTTACAAGGCAGAATGTGGGATGTTGAAATACGCAAGCAGGTGTTTCCATGATGTAACCCTAACGCTCTTGGTTTCTTTCTCACAGCTAAACAATTTATTTTTCCTGTTTTTAAATTGCCATACTTACTTTAAAATAACTATGATAACAGAGAGAATTCTTGCACTCAACCTGATAGCTGACTTAGATTATGTGCAAATCATTCCTACTTCTGAAAATTCATCAAGTTTTGCACAGATTAGCATTAGCAGAAACAAGTATATCAAATATAAACATTAACTTTAAAAATCAAGATCAGAAAACAGATTTAATTTTAGCTAACAGAATTATATATACACATATATATAGGCTTTCCCCAACATGAGAGACCATCGAGACTGGAAGACTTCAAGAAAAATAGAATAAGTATTTTATGTATTTCTAAACACACATTACAGTTGTTCAAAAGATAACTCTGGAAAGCACAGTAAAATACTGAATTACAAACATATTTGTTCTGTTTAATTTTCAGTGAGAAAAAAAGGTGTGACCCGAAGGACCAGTGTTACTGCTTATTCTACTACTACCAGTATGTGAGTAATAATGGTTTCATTCAGTTACCATCTAATCACTTCTAAGTTTAATCAAGTAACAAAGTTGATGGTTTTGTCAAGTTTTCAGTAGTCACGTATATTGTAACTGGCACAACTGTGCAGTTTCAGAGAATCAAAGAATTAAATACAAATAAATCTCAAAGCTATATCCAAATAAAATGCTTTGGTGGGGCAATGAAATACATTAGTGCCTGATTAAAACTGACGATTTGGTAACTGGTAGAAAGTACCAGAAACACTAACAGTGAATACATATATAAGTAAATACATTATAACTTCAAACCAAATGCATACTATAATCTGCTATTGAAATCTGAATTATTAGAGTTTATCATCACTGGATTTATATGTTTATATTTTGCTTGAACATTAACATAAACAGCAAGATCATTGTTTTTTCTTACAATCCTATGAAATATACTGCCCTCTTTCATTAGATCTTCAATTTTCTTATCTATTGACAAAGTTATCTTTTTCTCCCCGGTATAATCTGGATCTTCTGGATACAGCTCATCTCCTGGGGAAGAAAAAAAAAATATATTAAAAAAAACAAGTTTAGATATGCATTGCCCAGTTTTCAGCCTTTGGACTGAATGGTACTAGTAATTTTTAAATCTTTATGAGTACATGAAACTCAGTGGGAACAGATTTTACAATATAAATGTAAATTGCTTCCAATTTGTCCATATTTAATGATGCAGCCACAGATTTCTAAGGTATCTGTCAGTGACACCGCACAGTACATTTTAGGTGTTACAATAAATGCTCCAGTGCTCTCACTAACACTAACATGCCTTAATCACAGTCTTGTGAGATAGGAATATTTGTTACAGGGCAAAGCAAGACAAAGACTTCTCCAAATATATAAAAGGTAACCTACACTAGAATTAAGAATAGAAACTGTTATTTCACTCCATTTAGTTGAAGAATTGTGTTTTGCCATATAAATGTATGTGACTCGACATGACAACCAGTATAGCAGTACAGGACAAAAACTTTAAAGAGCAATTCTAATAATAAAAAAGAGGCCAGGAGAAAGTATTTTTTTTAAAAAAGCAAACTATTGAAGCTGCAGCAGAAGCTGGAACATTGAAGGAAAAGAGGGCAAAAATGCATTTGATTAATGAAATGAAGGTGTAAGTAATAGGAAGGGTGGGAAAAAAAGGAATTAATTGCTACAATTGTGAAAACTGCTGCTGCATCTATGCTTCCATTACTTGCCCTTACAGGCAAATGGACAACTGAAATTCAATGAGAACTCCAATTATAAAGGACCAAATACCTCTGATATTCTGCAGATAAAAATGGAAGTTGAAATGACAAAATTTCTTTATGAATTAAGATATTAGTATCCATAATATTATGGCTGAGGTTTAAACGAGATTATGATTAAGTGTAGAAGTAACAGCTTTCTAGATGGTCCAACAACTTATCTCTGACTGGCCAACACGAAGTGTATCAGAAAAGAAAGACAAACAGCAGAGATAGCTTGATTCCTAGTTTTTCTTCACGGTTATTTATACCATGTGGCATAAACCTAAGCTTCTATTATATTTTTTAAAAAAACACCTTTCACTTGCTTTCTTACCTGGTAATAGCTGCATGTAGCCATCTGAGGCAGTTAAAATCACTGGCATCCAACGTTCACATCCCTCTAAAGCACGCTCAGAGCTGAACTTATGCAGCTCTTGAAGTGAAGAAAAGTTGCATAACCTACACAATTCGTAGAACTGAGGAGGAGCAAACTGTATTTCCTGAGATTTAAAGTGTTCAATGGCTTCTGGAGGTGATAACCACTGTAAAAGGAAAGGAAAACATACCTTGAAATAATAGCTTCATCAGCAGTTACTGAAAGTAACTTTAAAGTCCTCAGCCTTAACAAGAAAGCCTTCACAGAGTAAGAGCATGAAACAGCCTATGTTTTCTGAATACAAAAGCCACCCATAAACTATACCAAAATAAAAGCAACAAAATAACAAAAAGTGATTTCAAACAAAAAAAAAGTTTGAAAAAATGTAATAAAACCTGTTAACGTAACATTTTTTTCCTTCATTTTACATGTAGGCATTCCAGCTATTGTAATAAACAGAAAAAGCAGAACCTCAGTGTAAACTCAGTTAACACTTTGCTGCCAATACTTCAGCAATTAATTAACTTAATATTATCTCTTAATGGCTGCTTCCTACACACAGTTTTTAGATCAAGAATATCCAACTTATCATAAATAAACTTGGAGCTCTTTTAGGTGTTTAAGCTATTCCTAATCTTGCTCTCATCTCATACGATGACTTCGATGATGTGAAAAGTGTGAATAAACACCGTGGATTTCTGCCGTTACTAACAAATAAGGAGCACGTGCACTTCGAAGGCCGGATCTCAGGGGCCTTGAAACCCTCAGACATCCCCCTAGCTCCCCGAGGGGCCAACCCGGGAGCGGGTGGCGCCGCTACCTGCGAGGCCGTCACCTCGCAGCCGTCGTGCGCGGTGCGCGGCGGGCGCTGCTCCAG